ATATATATATATATATATATTTATTTATTTTGTGGCTGAAAACATTCCAGGACCGAAGAGTAGAGGCAGAAGATGCTGGGTCAGAAAAAGATCAGTTCAGCATCCCAGTAGTCAAATAAATCAACTGGAAATCTCTTGTTCTTTCTCCAGGCAGATTCTCCAGGAAAGCAGTCTTCCCTATTTTGCTTCCCAACATGTGTTTCCCAAAGTCCTTTGGATCTGGAGTCTTCACATAACTATCATAAATACCAGATATATTAACATCCACTGGTAGACTCTCACAGTTTGTTCCTTTTAAAGATGGATGCATGGATAAGTAAATGAATGGATGGCTAAATGGGTGATGTACCATTCATTTAGTGCTCTTAGGAACTACATAGATAGCTTTTCACCAAGACGGTAAGTGATCCTAGATCAGGGCTGTCAAACTTGCAGCCCGCGGGCCGGATTTATCACACGCTGGCCACACCCACACCCAGTTTAGCAAAGGGGGGGGGAAAGTCCCAATACATCACGTGACACTGTCGTGACAACGCAAGTTTGACACCCCTGTCCTAGATAATATATATTTAAGGCAAAGCATTCAAAAGGCATTTTGTAAAGCATCTTGGGAAGGTTGCATCGTTAAACATCAATAATCTTCTCAGATTGTCCCAGAGGCATGCAAATGCCCAGAAAAGTCAACACACCCAACACGATGCCAGTGAAGTGAAGTGAAGTGAAGCAATAGTGTATGGACACACTTACATATATACATACAAACAAACACAAAAATAACTCAGGAACACTATTAAAACAGCTGCAGTGAGTGTTCCACATGATGCGGTTGCCTTAACACCTCAGAGAGGAGTACTCCATTTGCACTAACATGCTTTGCAAATTGTCCTTTTGAATCCTCTGCACAGCCTTAGAAATTCACCTAAGTCTTGCAAAAACAAGCAGGAACAGTCAGGTATTTGTATGAATAAAAATCAATGATGTACAATAACACCTACCTGCAAGGGCTTGCACAGAAGGCTGGTCATGTGTGCTGAGTAGTTGTGCCTGAATCGTTTCCACAACCCGCTTAAACCGACGGCTTGGACCTAGAGAGGCAGAAGTAGGAACAGCAATGGGACTTCCGGTTGTAATTCTGGCACCTTCAGAAGCCTGATCTGCAAGCTCTGTGGTCAGCTCCGACCTCTACTTGTCGGAGGGTCCAATTTCAGACCATAGTCACCCTGAAGGGGTGGTGAACTAAAGGGGGACCACCTGGCAGGTAGAGTAGAACCGCATCTCTCCTCCCTGACTTGGAAAGCCCCTCATCTGAAGACGAAGAGCAGTGGCAGCCAAAATGGCTGCCATGAAGCCAGGGACAGCCTGAATACCCAAGACTGTGCTGGAGTGGAGAAAGCGAATGGAGTGTGATCTGGGTGAGAAAATACTTTTTATTGGAAGTTGACCACAGAAATCCAAGGGGGAAGCATCTTTAAAGCTATTTGTTGAAGCTGTGAATGGGCACACAGGAAAAATACTGGAGAATTGAAGAAGGAAAAAAATGCTTTTTAAATGATAAATAGAAATTTGGTTCCTCAAACCTAAAAGGTGTGGTATTGAGAGCATTTTAAAATGCTGGAATTAAAGTCCCAAATTCCTCTTTACAAACATTGCTCAATTTTTGGATTAATAAATTAAAAATAATTGAAATTGGAACTGTTAACAATATTGCAGAGAGGTTGAAGTAGACAGAAGCGAGACTGCCATCTGCTGATGAAAAGGGAAATATGCAAGCTTGGAAATAACTATTCAAAAAGACTGGAAATATCTGTTAGACACAGACCTACTCTAAGACCACTAGAGATTTGATTATTAACTAGGGACTTCAGTTAAGAGCCCCTAAACATCATTGAATAGCATTGAACATATAAAGTAATTTGAAGAGGCATGGATAACCTCCTAGTGAATTTAAATTGTTTGGACGGACTATTGATGAGACATTTAAAATTGTGACTTGGAAGTTCACCTTTTTGAATTAATGAACTCTGGACAGTGGACTAAAAAAGAGATTGACTAAACACAGATGCAACATAAGACGGAAGTGAGGAGAACCTAAACAGAATGGAACTTTTTCAAAACATTGAGAAAATATTTGATCGGATAGACCAAAAATTGGGAAATTTAATACAAACAATAATGGACAAGGATCAGGACAAGGAAGAAATAATGAAGCTACCAGATGAAATAGAAGGGAAAGCAGAGAGAAATCAGCAAGAAGAAGATAACAAGGAGGAGATGTTGCCAAAATAAAAATTGGTTAAGGAACTAAAAAAGCAGGGAAATAATGTAAAAGACCTAAAAAGGAAATGGGAGAAACAGGAAGAGAACTGGGGAAAAGAGATAGGACGTGGAATGGATACTTTTGGAATTAGACAGTGGGAAAGGGTAGAGTTGGGAGGAAAAGTTAGATTGCATAGTCAAATAGAGGGAATAAAAGACTTAAGGGACAAATATGGGTGGAAAACTAAAAAGAAAATAAGATTAAAGGTTCGGATGCGGGTAAGAGATGAAGGATAAGGGAAAATAGAGTAAAAGAATATTTTTATGAATATATTTCAATAATGTGTATTAATATTAGAATGATATAGGTTGGACAATTATTTTAGCAGTGTGATAGATATCAGGATATTTTAATATAAATGGATATGAAGACTTGGAAAAATAGATTTTGAATGAATATGTATAAAAATATGAACAACAGTGGAAGGTTAGAACTTAACAATGGGCAATTAGGGAAATATATATAAATATATATTAATCTAAACATGTGTATTAATAGTAGAATTATATGGATTGAAGAACTGGAAAGAAATGAATAGAAATACCCTAAATGTATAAATGATCATGATTGATACTAAAAATGTATAAGGAGATATTGAATAATGGAAGAATGATGGATAGAACTTTGATTTAACTAAGGAAATATGAATAACAAAATAAGTGGAAAATGCATCTTTGAATATTATAGCGATATGAAAGGGGGGGAGTTAAAATAGGGACAGAAAATATAGGGGAATAATAGTAATTATATATTAATATGTTAAGCTATACAAAAGGACACAAAGAAAGTTTAGAAATGAAGGGTGATAGTAAAAGGCATGTATAAATAATATGAAATAATGGAAATGAAATGTAATATTTAGGAGTAATAAGATTATGTTTATGTGTACTGAAATGTATGTTACCCAGTTACCGCACCATTTACACATTGATATGTATAAAGAATATAAAAAATAAAAATTTTATTGAAAAAAAGAAGAAGTAGGAACAGCAATGGAATAGATTCCAGAAAACAGGGTCTAAAAGTAGACTTCAACTCAAGTCCAATGGTGGGAAAAGACCATTGTCTGTGCTATGTAAATGCGGTCTGGGGACTTGAAAATTCAGATTCTTGCATAATTGTGTACAGTACATATACAATGTACTTCAGGATTATGGATTACACTACTTTCAGAAC